ACTCACGGGGCTCACACCAGGATATCGGATGACAAAACATGCTCACAAAAGTCGCAAGAATATTCTGACTCTCTCGAATTGAGGGCTCCTCATTATCATTCAAGTACGATCGTGTCCAGCCGTTGGTGGAATGCACCGCGATTTAGGACATTAACATATCACACCATCACCAAATTGAATGTTAACTTTTCATATTTCGATTCAAGACTTCAAGGCACTTTTCGAGCCCAAATGTTGACTGTGCAAGTTCACGTGGCAGAACGAACCGCACAAAACGTACTTGTGTCATGAGAATAACGGTATGCCTGGTGGACCTTACAGACCCATGCACTCATGCACCCATGAAGATTCTTCCGCGAACAGGCCACACACGATTGAGCCCCCAAAATTGGTGATCCTTTGACAAAACAAAAACGCGCAAAATATCTCAGAGATAGAAACGAGAGAATCTCCAAGGGTTTAGGCATAGCGCAGGGAAAGCAATTGGATCCCAGGAAGGAGAATCGGCCCTTTGATACCTCATGAGCATGGGACTCCACTCAGGCCGAGGTCGGCGACACTTGCTGTTCAGGTTGGGTAATACTAATGATACTGGCGGGCCCCGGGTGTCACCCTTATTTATAATTCATCAAAAGCTCCGCTGTTTCCTCATAGCTGGTTGGATTAGGAATGTCTTGTCGAGAGCCTTTTTTGAATCAGGAAGTCCTCGACGACTCACAATTTGAGGAACGTGCGCGCCGTCCCACTTCCCCGGACCACGGTGGGTTCGATTGTCCGCTGCGATGCCGCTTTGCGGGGGACAGCTAGATAAGAGTTTTCGTATTGTCATCTGTCCAAGAGTGAAAGAAGAGTCATTGAAATTGACGGCCTGCAGATGCAAGTATGGGGGGACTGGAATGGTATCTCATAACCACAAAAACCCGTCACTCTATTCATAGAGCTGTTACCCTGAAGAACAACCAGGTCTCCGGAATATGAGCTTACTTTGCGACTCGTGACGTTCCTTGTGAGACCAACTCAGTGCGGCAAGTCCGGGGTTGTGTCAGGAACTATCCCCGCAAAACCACGCGGGCAATCACCCAGACCAGTGGCAAGGCAGTCCGCGTCGCTATCAGGGGCGCTCGTAGATAAATAACAGCCATTTTGACACCCAGCTTGGCTTTGGCTGCCTGACAGTCTCTCTTTACGACTTCCTTTTTCTCTTCCTCAAATATCACCATGGCAAAATCATCGAAGTCAGCCAATGGCTCGCATGAGATGGCTCCCGTGCCATCTCATGTCGGACAGGTCCTCGAAGACCCCTCGGTGACGCACGATGCTGTCTTTGGCGAGATCACGGCAGATGGACCCAATTATCGCAACGTCAGTATTCCTCTAAGTTGCGATTGCCTCTTTGAGAGATAGGTTATGCTGACAAATTCTAGGTCGGGTGGTTAGGGACATCGGTCTTGATGATGAAGACACAAATCGGCCTCGGCGTTCTTTCGATGCCTTCGATCTTCGATGTTCTTGGAATCGTCCCAGGCGTCATCATTCTCTGCACTATTGCAGGAATCACCACCTGGTCAGATTACATGGTTGGAGTCTTCAAGCTTCGCCATCCACAAGTATACGGGATGGATGATGTAGGAGAGCTGTTGTTCGGTCGTATCGGACGCGAAGTCTTTGGTGGATTCTTCGTCCTTTGTAAGTTGTCGTCGTCAGAACTAAACTTCCGAGAATCCTTCTGACAGCACAAGTCTTCACCTTTACTGCTAGTTCTGCCATGATTGGTGTTTCTACTGCATTAAACGCCGTCTCCCATCATGGAGCTTGCACTGCCATATTTGTTGCTGTGGCCGCCATTGCTAGTTTCTCGTTGGCCAGCATACGAACTCTGGGCCGCATTACATGGCTCGCATGGGTGGGAGTCACAAGTATTATGGTTGCGGGTAGGTTGCAACTCTTTGAGACCTTACACGAAGAAGTCTAACGTCCACACAGTCTTCACCGTAACTATCGCTGTTGGCCTTCAGGACCGCCCTGCCGCAGCGCCCACCGACGGCGAATTCGCGTCTGACTTCAAAATAATCAATAACCCTGCCTTTACAAAGGCTATCTCGGCCATATCCTCAATCGTCTTTTCCTACGCTGGAACTGGTGCTTTCTTCCCGATCGCTGCAGAAATGAGGGATCCTCGATACTACACCCGTGCCTTGCTCCTTTGCCAGGGTGTGGTGACTTCTGTCTATGTGGCTGTGGGAGTCGTTGTGTACTACTTCTGCGGCTCTTATGTCTCTTCACCTGCCCTTGGCTCTGCTGGCCCCTTGGTTAAGAAGGTCGCGTATGGTCTTGGTCTTGCTGGACTGCTGGTCTCGTCAACCCTCGTAACTCACGTAAGGAAAATATCTTCAGGTCATTGGATGTCTTGCTAACATTTTCACAGTTGGCTAGCAAGCATGTTTTCGTCCGCATCCTCCGTGGATCGAGGCATCTCACTGCTAACACTGCTACTCATTGGCTCACCTGGCTTGGGTCTACATTTGGTGTCACTCTCGTAGCATATCTTGTTGCTAGTGGCATTCCCGTCTTCAACAGTCTTATCTCCCTTGTCGGTGCACTCCTGGGCACTTTCATGTCATTCCAACCGATGGGTTGCATGTGGCTTTACGACAACTGGAGCAAGGGGAAGGTAGAACCAACATTGCGGTGGAGACTGATGGTGGCTTGGAGTGTATTTGTCATTGCATCCGGAACCTTCCTAATGGTTGCCGGAACTTACAGCACAATTCTTGGTATTGTGGACGACTACAAACAGACAGGTGGTTCGTCAGTATGGTCCTGTGCCGACAATTCAGGTACAGTATAGAGTCCACAGATCAAGACAACAGAGACAGTTAGCCGAAAGATTCCGTTCAACCTCGTTGAAACACACAGCTATTCACTCGAATGATATTTGATAAGGTTGTCCAGAATCGGTCTGATGGCTGACAGTAGGCTATGACATTGGATCCTTATCGCGAAGGGATAAAAAGGGGCTGGGCTAACGCGTGGTCAACCAAGTACGGGGGCTTTGATGATAGCTCGGAAGATAAGAAACGTCAAAACATAACACGCCCGATACGATAGATTATGCCGATGCCTGTCTTCCCCATACCAACCCCAGAAAATGTCACGCTCCACCTCGCTGTACCTGGTTCACCAGGTTTTCCGATTGGCCCTGGCGTGTCCCCAGACACTAACTCACAGAATCTCCACCTCATCGCGGATACATTCCTTTTCGAAGTATGCTGTCTCCTGATCCGTTCTTCAGAGACAAGGTGATCACGCCTGCCTGCCCACATAATGAGCCCGTGCGATACGCCAATTACGCCGGATACGCCATGTGGCGATGTCAATGGCTTTCGTGAGACTGAGATCTCAGGCTTTGAAATGCGTGTCTGATAAGATTAAGAAAGCATCAACGAAGTAAGAAACACTCAGAGGAAGGCTATGCTAAGTGTAAATAATGAAGCTTATTCTCCTCTCTGAGACTCATTGTTCCCCATTCCTCCAGCCTAAGTTGCGTTTGCTCGGATTGGTGTTGCGCTTTTCATCAGGTCGACTGCTTGAACGCGACACTCTTGACCGAGGCTCGCCGACGGCCCTGGCACGTTGGAACATGGAGTCTTTCATGCGGCAAAATCACCCCAAGGAAACGCAAGCCCCGAACGAATGTCACAAAAGCTAGCACCCAAGATGTATGAACCATAGCGCAGATACACCTATGGTGCGGGAGGCGATGATCACATCTGTCCCATGCTGCTATCCCATTTCAATTGGGAGGGCACTCGAAGCTAGAGCATGGCCGAAGGCAAAAGACGATTTCGACTGCCATTTCCATCCACTCCGATAAAGCGTTCGATACTTATAATGAGTCTTGCTATCCGGGCGGATCGCTACCTATATTTGGTCTTATAGTTTATTTTATCTTAATTAATTTTTACTACTATCGTCAGTATTCGTATCCCGCTCTCTGTCCCTATCGTTATCGTTACTATTATCGTTATCGTCGTCAGTATAGTCGTCATCGTCGTTATCGTCGATTATCTCTTAAATATCTGCTACCCGCCCGGTTGGCTGGGAGTATCCGCCCGGATAGCAAAACCCCTCATAATTCTCTTCTATCTCCATCTCCGACCGGCTGCCTTGGGCTTCGGAAACAGCCCGGGTTCTCCGTGTTGCCCCGAGGACCATGTCTAACGTGACAGCTCCGTCATCGTATTAAGGGATGGCGTGATTGGATTTGCTTACAGAATGTACCCGAGAAAGTGCATAAATCACTTCGCATCCCGAATACTGCTTCCTGTGTGGTAGGCTTGCCATGAATGCATAGATGCATATGCATGGGATAATGAAGACGGCAGATTCGCCATTCGTATACGCGTAGCTTTCAAGCTCGCGATTGCTTTGAAAAGGATGGCTTGACATCACTCGGACAAGGACGAGCGATTGCGACATGGCGGGGTTAATGATGGCAGCACAGGCAGCTCCAAGCTATGTTATCGAAAACACCCCGTGGTCCGATAAACGTGAGATTGCCTTTCCCATGATCAACACCAGGAATCTGGCCGCGCTGTTGTCATAAGATGAGTACTGCAGATGTCATCTCAAGGATGTTCAGCTGGGCGATTTCAACGCTGAAGATTTCTATCGTCGCACTTCTGTCACTTTTGATTACATACCTGATCCAAAATGAGCTTGCACGCTTCCGAAGCCGAATCAAAGGTCTCCCGGGACCTCCGGGCTGGCCTGTGGTTGGGAATTTATTTCAAGTATCTACCAAGCCCCCTCCCCCGAAAACAGTGCTTAATAGGGTTCTAACTGAATACCAGAACTCCTCAGAGACTCCTGCTGAGAAATATAGGAAGTGGGCGAGGATATACGGACCCGTCTTCCAAATCCAACTTGGAAACACCACTGCCGTGGTCGTTAACACGGCGGAGTCTGCGAAGCAACTCTTTTTAGGACAGCGCAATGCGATGAACTCCAGACCGACATTTTACGTCTTCCACAAGAAAGTCAGCAAAGCCGTGACAAGTATCGGTACAAGCCCTTGGGACGAATCTTGCAAGCGTCGTCGGAAGGCTGCTGCTGGTGCACTGAACCGTCCACGTGTAGAGAGCTATGCGCCGATTCTTAACTTAGAGGCAAGAGAGTTCCTCAGAGATCTCTACTCGGAAAGTAGAGATGGCTCGGTAGCGATCGATTTTCGCCCTGCTGTCCGCAGATTCGCGCTCAACCTTAGTTTGACCCTCAACTACGGCACCCGCGTGTCTAACTTGACATCTCTCAAAGATGATCCCTTGCTAGCCGAAATTATTTATGTGGAGTCAGAGATTTCCAAATTCCGAGATACCGGGAAGAACTATGCCAACTACATCCCTCTTCTTCGGTATTGGGAACCAGTCGCCAACGTTTTGGGTCTCAATTCCAGCCCTAGGGACCATGCTGCGAATATCGGACGTCGAAGGCTAGAGTACAATGATGCTTTACTGGACAAGCTGAGAGGAGAGGTCGAACGAGGAGAGGATAAGCCTTGCATTCAAGGGGCTGTGCTGAGAGATCCGGAGTCTGCAACACTTACTCGGCAGGAGTTGATCAGCGTTAGTTTGAGTATGATGGCAGTAAGTACTCTTTGGAGCAACGAGTCATATCAGGCCCAAGTCCACCCGACGTTCTTGACGTTCGAAACCTGTTCCCAATGCTAAGGTCTCTAAGGGTGCCGATTCCAATCAGCCGACCCTGGCTTGGGCCATTCTACTTCTAGCTCATCGCCCCGACGTTCAGAGGAAGGCATACGAAGCCATTAAAGACTCGGGAGTCTTGCAGAAGCCGTCCAGTTCTTATGCTTCTACCAAGGTTGATTACATAGATGCTCTCACGAAAGAGATCGGTCGCTATTTCGTTGTCCTGAAGCTCGCCTTGCCGAAGGCCACATACACCGACGTCACTTGGGGCTCCGCAACGATTCCTGCTAACACCCTCGTGTTTCTTAACAGTTGGGCTTGTAATAGAGGTGAGCTTCATTACAATGCAGATGTGGTGGATTTCATCTAATGTGGTCTTAGATTTGGATTTGTTTGCCGAGCCCGATGTCTTCGCACCTGAGCGCTGGCTCCCCGACGCACCTGACCAGTACGCTCATCAATTTGCTTTCGGCATCGGCGGACGCATGTGCGTTGCATCTCATCTGGCGCACAACGCCCTGTACACTGCGTTCCTTCATCTGATTGCATACTTTGAGATCTTTCCCGCCGATGGGCAATCTTCCGATGAGATAGATCCAATCAAGGGCTTGAAGGGATTGGCGTTTGTGGCGACGCCTAAGGGCTCTCGGGCCCGGTTCGTGCCAAGAAGGGACATGGAGTTGGAAAGTCTGCTCAACAGCCGCGAAGATGGCACAGCTTAATGATCAATGGCTCAGTTCGCGGTTTTGGGCATCATTTCAAGCATAGTTCAGTGGTAGAAGAGTGTATAACTCGTTGCCCCCGCATCAAGTTCTTGAGATGTCGCATATTATCCCGCTGTTTGATTTACCGATGTCCAAGCGCCCCAAAAACGCCTCAGTGGCAACCCGTCCTGTAAGATGGAGAACATCCCAACTTCGGAGGTAGCTTGCAGATAAGGCGCATGAGCCCCGAATATTGCAGCAATTCGTAAGCACACTCTGCGACGGTCGGGCGAGATAGAAGCCGGATGTCGCCATAGTTCGTGCGGGCCGTCTTTTACCCCACCTAACGATCATCATTAAAAGCTGAGGTCATCGAACTACGAGACACCCTTTATTCAATAACTACAACACCACATGTCATTCATCATTTAATCTCTAGAGAAGAATCGCATAGAGAATATCGAAAAATGACCTCAGCATCTCTGCAAGCTGCTGACTTGTTCAGCGTCAAGGACCTCATTGTCGTGGTTACAGGCGGTGGAACAGGTATATCATCATCGTTCATAATTACGTCATCACGGGATCCTGAAGCTCACCTCTGAACCACCAACACAGGCATCGGACTCATGATTGCACAGGGTCTTGAAGCGAATGGAGCCATTGTGTATATTATTGGAAGAAGACAGGAAGCTTTGGACAAAGCCGCCAGCACTGCTGTATGTTCTCGCCCCGCCATCAACCACCGCATGTGACCGCATCTGACGTGATATCCATGACACAGAAGCATGGAAACATTCGCACCATTCAGGGGGACGTTACCTCCAAGTCAGATCTTGAGAAGGCTGTTTCGCAGATCAAGTCGGCACACGGCTACGTTAATGTCGTCATCGCAAACTCAGGCATTGGTGGCCCAGCGCTGAAGGGCATGCCGGCCAATCCCTCCATCTCCCAGTGGCGCGAATTCGTCTGGAACTGGGACCCCGAAGAGTTCACCAAGACTTTCGCCGTCAACGCCACTGGTGTCTTCTTCACTGTGACGGCGTTCCTCGAACTCTTGGACGAGGGAAATAAACGCAGCAACTTCAAGCAGCGAAGCCAAGTTATCGCAACCAGTAGCATTGGAGCGTTTAACCGACAGCCCATGGGTTTCGCGTACGGAGCGTCTAAGTCGGCAGTGGTTCACATGATGAAGCAGCTCTCCACGGTTCTGGTCCCGTATAACATCAGGTCTAATGTCATCGCACCCGGCTTCTATCCGAGTGAGATGACGACAGCAACCGTCGAGCAGCACAAGGATGGATGGCCAAAGACAACAATCCCCGAGGAGAGAGCTGGTGATGCAGAGGATATGGTTGGTGCGGTGCTGTACTTGGTCAGCAGGGCCGGCGCTTATACCAACGGCAACGTGCTCATTACAGATGGTGGCAGACTCGCCGTCGTGCCATCGTCATACTGAGATGGATGTGCATACACGTTTTCATGTGTGAAAAGTGTTAGCCATCTCGAAAGCGGATAAGAGAATCAATTGACTTTTGATGTCAGCTTCAATTCTCCTGCCAGTGCCTGTCCATTGTTTCGGAGAAGGTGATGTTTTATGTTATGACACTTCTCCATACTCTGATGAAGTGGAAATAGGTATCTGCGAGAATTTCGAGAGCGAGTGCGATGCGACGGTGGCTGTCCTAAATTCTATGCCGCTTGTTTTGGGCGCTTAGAGACCCAAATGGGGAATGCCCAATACGCAGACGACGAACTATGTTCGTCCCGGAGTTGATGAGTGATATCCATGGTGATGAGATAATCCCATAAAGTATTGTAACCTGAAAATCAATTACTGAGATCAGCTTGTAGCACTTTCGTCGAAGATGTATCGGCTTCCCTGTCTTTTCCACCAATTAAGGCTCTTATTACAGCCCAAATCCAAAGTTGAGACTTGGAAGTGATGGAGGGATATTGGCCGTACTCGGGTCTCGGGTTTCAAAGTGCGAGAAATCTGTAGGTTCACTACCAGACCCGCATTCATGGACTAGACAAAGTCCAGCAGGTGACGAGGGCGACTTTTCAGTACATTACTGCAAGTTCGAAGCCAATTGTTTACATTCTTACGCGTCTTCACCGAGAATTTAGCGTTACCGTCCGAGTACGAGAGTTTCTGTTGTCTTTCTCTACAGACAGTCACACACATACATCCTTGCAAGGACCGAAACCGACAAGAAAGATTTCAACACACAATCTAAAGAACAATTGTGAATGTCGCAAACTAGCCATGTTGATTGAATGAAATTCGTCGTATTCGTGTTAGTCGGTTAGTCGGCCCAAGCCGAGGTTTGGAGTTGGTTGGAGCACCTCACACCGGTCTAAAGGGCTACCCCACAGATCATCCTTTACTTGACGAAAACTGAAGTGCCTGGTGTCACCTTACTAGATTGTTTGCTTTTTGGAGGAGCCCCTCAGCATCGTGCAAGTGCCAATGGAATGCTTGGCGGGAGCCAAGGGTGTGGTTGCCACCCTTCCCGCGCTCAAGGTTCTGACAGAAATTCTTGGCTCGGTCCATCATGCGACCTGCCAGTGAAAGATGGTGTGTTCGACCTGGCTCCAAAAGACCGACCAATCCCAGCGGATGTTTTCTCAGAACGTCCTAGCCATGCGAATGACAACCCCTCAGTCAAGCTGGTGTCCAAATTCCATGACGAGTTTTTAGTGTTAGTGTAGATCGTCTATCTGCATGCCACACTCTAGTGCGCGAACGAGAGTCGTTTCTAGCCAACCACGATCCCTGAGTTACGTTACCCAGCTAGAGTGTCTTGCATCGCCATGTTTGATGGGGTCGTGTTTGGTGATGGTGGGCGGCTCGTCCATGCGCCAGCTGAAACGGAAGACTTTAACCCCGATGCAAATCAGGTGGACTGGTTTTTTAAAGTACGCGGCTACCCGCCACAGACTTCGCTTGCGAGCAGTTGTATTTGTGCTTCTCTACATTTTGTTTGGGTTTAGTCTTCTATCATGTTCAACAATCTCTCTTCCATTGCGCTTCTAGCGCTCCCGGCTCTTCTGCTTTACCTCTACTCGGCTGTTTACTACCGCCGCTTCAAGCAGTTTGCGAACTACCCGCAGGTGAAACCATCGTTAATGTGGGGCCATCTGAAGATTACCAACGAATTTCACCAGCGGCGCGACGAGAAAGGATGCCAAATCGGTACCAGCCCCTCGTTACGATTTTGTTGGAGTATTCTGAAGTCACAAACATTTCATCTGATGCAATTCAACCGCTAGATCACGCCCTGGGAGATATGTGTGAGACAATGGGAAACCCCCCAGTCATGCTCTACGACCTCCGCCCCATCAGCCGACCAATGCTTCTCATTCGTAGCCACTATGTGGCCGAGCAGGTCTCAAGACAGTCCAAAATGTGGCCGTATAGTACGCCAAAGTCTGATACTATGGCATACCTCTGGCCCCTGGTTGGAAAGAAGTCAATTGTGTTGACAAATGTGAGTTCGGATCTGGTCCGCCAAGTACTGCGATGAAATTTACGAATAGCGATTCAGGGTCCGGGTTGGAAAGACATGAGAAAACACTTCAACCCCGGGTTTGCTCCACAGCACTTGATGAGCCTGATGCCCGTGATTCTGGAAAATACTCAGACGTTTGTTGCTAAGCTTGACAGGCTTGCAATGACAGGCGAAGTCTTTGAACTGGAACCGCTTTGTACCAATCTCACATTTGATATTATAGGTATGTTTGGTTGTTGATCATGACATTCTCGATATGATGACTTACGATTTCCCCATAGGTGCCGTGACCATGGACGTTGAACTAGGCGCCCAGCTCCCAGAAGAGCAGCAAGGGGACTTCATCAAGAGCTACAAAGAGTTCCTTCTCTCTTACAGAGAAAAGGGCGGCATGCTCAAGTGGTGCGAGAACCTGTTCTCAGACAGACGGCGCAAGGTTCTCGCCGAGAAGGTGGACGGCTTCCTCACAAATGTCATTCGAAGCAAGTTCGATGACATGAAGAAAACCAAGGCAGTATCCAGTCGGAGCATCTTGGCATTGAGCCTCAGCGACACCGATGTTCTGACCCAGGAGATCATTGACGGCACGAAAGACCAGCTCAAGACCTTCATGTTTGCGGGGCATGACACCACCAGTATCCTTCTGCAATGGGCAATATACGAGCTGTCCCGGACCCCGCGAGCCATGAAGACGCTTCGTGCAGAGCTGCAAGGTCTCTTCGGTCCAGATCTCAGCCCCGAAGCTATCCGCAGGGCCTTGTTACTGAAGGGAGATGAGGTTACGCAGAGGATGACGTACACGTCTGCCGTCATCAAGGAGACTTTGCGTCTCTACCCTCCTGCTGGGTCAGCACGCTTGTGTCCTCCAGGATCAAATTTCCATATCCAGCTTCGAGATGGCAGCAGCCTCTGTGCGGATGGAATGGTACTGTACAACTGCGCAACCCTGATCCAGCGTGATGTTGAGGTCTACGGGAGTACCAAGGACGACTTCGTACCGGAGAGGTGGCTCGGGAACACCGATACGTCCATGGCAACGAACGACGATGAGAAGGCTGGTATCGGAAAAGCCGGCGAGAGTGAGATTCCGGCAGCAGCCTGGCGACCCTTCGAGCGGGGTCCAAGGAACTGCATTGGGCAGGAGTTGGCGAATATTGAGGCCAGAGTAATTCTGGCATGCGTTGTTGGCGGGTATGATTTTGAGAAGGTCGGGCTGGGTGAGGCGACGCTTGGTGTCGACGGGAAGCCAATCATCAATGAGAAGGGCCAGCACCGGTCCAACACCCAGCTCTACAATGTGAGTCTTTGCCTGACATGCAGGTTTTCACTAGTAAACAATGCTAACGAACTGGGGCAGACGCGACAGGTCACAGCTCGGCCAGTGGATTGCATGAAAGTAAGGGTGAAGAGTCGAGACCGCTCTTCATAGTTTGCGGGGTCTTGGCCACTGGTGGGGACAAAGACATGGACAAGTGTAATTGGAACCGCGTGGCAGGAGGAGCTTGGGGATCGTGATGAGCTTGATTTCTGTGTGGTCGGCAGAATGGTTGAAGCTTCGGCATCGAGGCCTCTCGCTTGAGCTGAAGTAAACATCCCAGCCAATCTAGCTAGCGCATGTTCTCTCTGGTCTCAACGTTTCAAGTTCCTTGACATACGAGGAAGGCTTGAGCCTTTCCTCCTTTGACGCCCGTTTCTCGCGTGTTCTCTTTGTCACTAGATCACGTCAAAGATGTAGCCTCGAACGGATGATTCCTATGCTGTTTTCTTTGTTTGTTATTGTCCAACGGACGTCGTTAAGCCACCAACGATCAGCTTGCCTAACTAGCGGCCAGCTGCAAAAAAGAAATAACTCGATGCCAAGAATCGGCGCTGTCGAGCGGCCGAAGATGGCCAGATTCTCATCACGACCGATGCTGCAGGAATATTGTATCCTGCATTCAAAATATTGTCTCCTCGGCGGTGTATCGTGCATGAAGCTGTTGAATTTCCGGCAGGGCTACCCCCTGACTGGAGCTAAAGAGTGCACGTCTCGGGCGTTAAAAAGATGCGACGAGACTGCGGTCAATGCGATATCGGATTTTAGCCAATGGGGGAAGATTTCGGTATTTTTCTCCCCAAAAACAACAATCTGATATGGCTACATTGGTGCTGCAGTCCAGCCGCACAGGCAAGGGTCGGGGCAAGAGGAGACAAATTGGGCGTGAAGTCTGTTCCCCGTGCCACACTAGCTCTGAAGATGGTTAGGACGTACACGAGTCGCCGGCCTGACCTGACATCTAGTCGCTAGAACCGTGAGACTATTGAAGGTAGCCTGCGGACCAGGAGTCGGCCCCCATTCTTTTTCTCCTAGCATAACGCATGGCTGGGCCTTTGTTGATATTGGAAACTCCATTCACCCTCGCCTGAGCGCAGGGTCTACCAACCACGCGAGGACAACAGATTTAGGTATCATTAACCGTAAGGATTGCTAGCTGGTCGCCACACAGAAGCTGGTCGCGGAAGAACGGCAGGCTGCCCGTCCCAGCAATGTGGAACGATCCCGAGAGCCAGGAACCTTCCAGACTAGCCGATGCTTGATGGGATTTGGCAGGCGGCAAACAAAGAACATCGGGAAAGATGTGGACTCAGAACCCCGTTGATTTACGCTTGTTTTACGGTTATGTCTCGTCGATCTCTGTTTCTGTTCGACGCGAGCAAGGATGTCTCGACATAACCACATCGCATCTCCAAGCAGAAAGTCGACATGCTATTTTGAGGCTCCCGCGATGCATCGACACTTGATGACGAGGCTCCTTAAATTACGACGAGTGTACGGGAGAGGCTGGAATTTCTGTCCAAAAGGGCATGATGCCCGGAAGACTGTAAGCTGAGAGTGCCTTGCCGGATGCACAGACAAGGACGGTTAGTCGAAAGGGCGCCAACGTTCGCGCGGCGCGTCCGGTGGCTTATTGAGCTGAGCTACTCGCCATTTAGGCCCTATCCCGAACTTGCACCACCGGGACTCTGTTGACATGGAGACTCCAGTCGCAGGGAACACTGACAGACACAAGCGGCAAAATAGGTCCTGAATGTATTCATGCTGGCGCGTCTGAATTTAGATATAAACCCTTAGACATTCCGGCCTCTTTCTCGACTAACTCACTCATCACCCTCACACTCCACTCCTCCAGCGTCACCAGCTTCATCATCTCGTCCGTCTTCGCTTCTGACATTTCAATTCCGGCTTCCCAACTCGCAAAATTCGCAATGCGTTCCGCTGTCATCATCGCTGCCGTGGCTGGCATGGCCGCTGCCAATCCCATTGTCGCCCGCGACACAGCCGCACAGGACGGTATTGACTTCGACGTCTTCGATGTGAGAAGGCCATCTGAGCATTTCAATCTCGACACCCAAGCTAATCCGATGTATAGGCCGCCCCCGAACCCACCAAGATCGGCCCGGCCGTTGGTGTCGCCAGCGAGAAGGCGACCTACAATGTTGCTTCCGCGTCGGCGGCCGCTGCCGCAGACGCCACCCAGAACCCCGTCTCGCCGGACTCGACTCTCGCAGCTCGCGACAACGCTTCACCCAATAACTCAGGATGCAAGACCAAGGAGCCCACTGGTTATGGGCCTACGCCAACTTCTGACACTTACGACGCATTCATGGCGAACACCGTCTACGACTCCGTTGCCAGCGCCGCCCCTACTATTGATGGATACAGTCGTTCCTTCAAGGCTTTGACGGGGGCCCTTGAAAGCAAGACTTACATCAGTTTTACCACATTGAAGACCTACGACCCCTACCTGTGCCAGCAGGTCAGTTTCCATCTTGAATGTTGTTAATAATTGAGACTGACGATACCAAGCAATGCGATGCTGCTCCTTTCTGCTACGCCTTTAACCTCTACTATGAGAGAGATCCCTTCTACTCACCGGACTATGACATCTGCCAGGACCCCAAGAGCACCATCAACATCAAGTGTAGTCTTTTTGGTGCTCAACTCGATTCCAACTCTGCTACGAACGTTGGACAGTGGAGAGCCGATTTCCATGTCGGTATCAAGGGTTCCAACGGTATGTCTCTTTTCTTCTCTTGTCATTAGAACAGAGCTAACACGGTTATAGGCTACATCAAGGACGCGCCGCCTCCACAGCAAGAAGGCTTCTCAGGACCCATCGCGCTTGGTGGCGCCATCAACGCCCCCGGCAATTACATGGGAGCCAAATACTACCCTGGTCCCTTCAACCCCGGCCAGTGCGCCGCTGCTTGTCTGGCGACTACCGCCTATGACAAGAGACACCCCAAGTCCGACGGCACTTACGATGCCTGCAACTTCTTCAACGCCTACGTCCTTAGCAAGAACGGCGCCCCTCAGGGAACCTACTGCTCCATGTACACTGTGGTTTGGGACAAGAAGTACAGCACCAACTACGGCCAGTACCGCGGCAGCGACCGCTACACTGTCTCGCAGAGCTACAGCTACAGCCTCACCAACCAGGACAGTGGTAAGCTTTGAAGTAATAGCTGAGCTTGAATATGGGCTTCGTGGTGCTCTATTTTCCGGGCCACCTATTCAAATCAAGATCGTGCCTAGCGGATCACTTGATCACATTCTTTCTAGATGAGTAGTAGAATGATTTTGCATAGAGATTAGAGTGCTTGGTTGTTGAATTTAGATAATGATAATTCGATGTTTATCATAACGCCTCGCGCATGCAATGAAGAGGACTATGCTCAATTGCTCATGAAGAAGTCTGAAGATGTTCCCTGTTGGTTTGGCTTTGCTCAGTCCTTTTCGCCAACGTAGTGTCACCTAAGGAAGGTCACTCAACATAGATAAACCTTCCACCAAGTCTTTCGCTGCTTGGTAGTCATAATGAACTGCGCCAAGTTCTCTCGGCGCTTAATGTCGGTCTCGAGCCAGTCGCGGTAATTAGATCCGCCGGGATATGCCTGGCATTTCTTGCAGAGCAATTCAGGCACAGTTGTTTGGAAGTGCTTCGTACGGACCCAGCCGCAATCGTTGCCGGTCAGCTTTGCATTCTCGCAGGGAAAGTGGAATTCGTTGGTCAGGAAGTTCACTGCGTTGGGGTGAGAATCTGAAGGCTTTCGCTCCACCAAGACGGTCTGAGGTTCCTGGCAGGTCTCGCAAGTAGCCTTGGCAAGTTGGCACATGGTTCTTGTTTGATGGGTACTTAGGCTTCTGCTTTCGGTAGACTTTCTCGGGTGTCGGTCGATGTTTAGATAGAATGTTGCTTGATGGTGAAGATAATCGTTAATTAAAAGGTCAAGCAGGCCAGCGAAGCCGCCTTTTGACCTAGTATGCCCTTGGGGTAGCAACAAAGCCTTCACCGAACAAAACGTCTGTTTTGTTGTTCTCGAACTATGGTTGAAACAGTTCTTTGTATCCTGCAGCAAAGCACGCGAGATCAACGCGTCGAGCCCGAGGAGCTTCTCATCAGTCATATTCTAACAATGGCATTAGCATTTGTGGCACGTCTGCAAAGCCCAAGCATTGGACAGAACAACGCCGATGTATGTAATTCGCCAACTAAGAATATCGATCAGGTAAAACCATACTTCTTGTACCCAGTTCACCAAGCTTGGCCCATACAACAGGGTTTGGGCACTCGAGAATGGCAATCATATTTCGAGTCTGAACACATACTTTGAGAATCCCTCAGCTTTTCCCGTTGCTCGTAACAAAGACCCATTCAACATCTTCCCAACCAGGTCTTCGCCTAATTCTCACCACCATGTTGTCCTGAACAGTCTGCAATGGCTTGGGCACCGCTTCGGCTAGGTTATTCTTGATAGGCGGCACTTGAACTCGGCCACCTTCGGGCGTCTCTATCTCAAATCCAAGGATCAAAGCAGCCAGTGCTCCTAGAATCTCCGCGTCGGCGAAGAAGCGACCGGGGCAGAGGTGCTTGCCGCTACCAAAGGGGTTGAAGGCACGACTCTGCGCGCGCTCTCGTTCTTTGTCCACGGCCAAGAACCGTCTTGCGTCAAACTCGTGTGCATTTGGGCCCCATGTAGCCGGATCAAAGTTGGCAATGATGGAGGGAACCTGGACATTGGCGCCCTTCTTCAATATATATGACTGTGTAGCCGCCGTCTCCCCAACTGCTGGAGTCGGTGTGTAACTGATCACAGTGTCCTCAACAACCCTGCGCGTGCCGGCATTGCGGTTCGTCAAACGCATGACCTCTTTGTATGTTGACAATAGAAGGGGACAGGCCGAACTGAGCTTCGCCACGGTGAAGGTACATTTGCGAGGCCAATGAAGCTGCATGCCATTTTGTCCATCCGCGGCCGTTTCGTCTTGGTCCTGGATGATGGCGATGTCCAACAGCTCCTTTCGTAGTTCCTCAACAAGCTTTGGGTCGCGAAAGACGTAGCATGTCATCCAAAAAAGCGTTGGAATTGCGTTCGTGACACTAGCAAAGAGCATTCCGAATTCGTGATCGGCAACGTCGTCGCTGGGTAATCCCCATTTGCGATTGACCGCCACGCGCCGCTTGACAACTGCGCTGACATTGGAAATTTGATTAAATTCCTCACGAAAGTACTTCCTAAGGGCTTGCTGAACCCTAGAACGACCACCATAGGCTTGTCGTGCCGTGATGGAAGGGAACGGCTGCATGAGAAGCTGAGACTGTCCTGCATCGTAGTCCCTGTCGTATAGATATGTTAGGGCTTGTCCTTAACAGAAGGTGGGTGTAATACTGACCAGAGATCTTGTATTAATGTCGGGCTGGCTGTCAGGGAGTTTTCGTCGCCGAAGAGAGAGCCCAAGGTCGCCTTGGTGAAAGTATCTCGTAACCACAAATACAGAGTTTTGTTTTCGAATTGTGGGCCAACGGAGTTGATGGTTCGCGAGATTCTTTTCAAAACGTAGGTATTCATCTCCAGCAGATCAGGCCCAGGAGAAAGTGGTGCATAAGAACGATGCTGATCATCAGTCCACGGCAGTGAACCGTCTGTAGGAGGGTGATGGAACAGGTTCATGATATTGGGCCCAAAGCCGACCATCTTTTCTGCGAACTCTGCCATAAAAGGAATCAGACTTAGAGCCTTGTTCCTCATAGCGACTTGGCTCAGTTGCGGATCTTTGATGATGTACATCTTCTGGGAGCCACCCATTGAGATTGAAAAGACTGGCAGGTTGGGATTATCTTGACTGCAGCGATCACACACTCTCCGCGTCAGCTGTTGTGTTTCTGATGGCCGGAATTTAAACCCCAGGATATGGCTTTCAACGCACCCAAGTTGGCGATAGTAATATTGTCTCAGTCCTAGTAGACCAATAATGTGACCGACAATTGGTATTTTCGGCTTCAACGCCGGCGGCTCCCTCGGATCTTGAGAACTACCTCGAAGCTGGGACCCGCCGACGAGGAGAATAGCGGCCAAGAAAAGAAGCAACCATGAATCAAAGCCATGGCTAGCGAGAAAGGTCCCGGCCAGATTGATGGAAGCCATATTGATGCGGCACGGCCAGACTCACAGAACACAATGGGACAATTAGTCTGCACGTCCTTGAAGACGACGCGTTGTGCGATTCAGCGTGGTGTGTTTACTATTCAAAGGAGGTGCATTGGTCAGTGCTTGCGGTGGAGCAACCGGAAATTTGTTGATCGTACTTGTCCAGGCCCGCATACCATCAATATTGGAGTTACACTAGGTACCTACTAGCCGAACGCAAACCTTACAGGCACTGTAAACGTCGTACGAATCAAGGGGAGCGGTATGGGTCGGCATGGTGGCGTTTACTGTATGTTCTGATTCTTGTCGGAGTTTCACACCGACAAGGAGTCTATGTTGAGGTTCACCTAAAGGTCGCCAGAGTCAAATTCTGGTGGAATGTTCGCTAATTTATCCTCCGGGCCCAAGTTAGGAACCGGGCTGGTGCATCATGAAGCCAGATCAGTGCAGACGATCGCACCAATTTGTCTTACGGCACAACGCTACTGCTGCATGCCTAAAACCCTTCATTCACAACAAGTACCATGTTGCTGTTTCGGGTTTTGTTTTTCTTTTCTTTTTTCTTTTTTTCCTCGGTTGGTTAGTTGGTTCGGTCCTTTTCCCCCTCCTAACCATGAAAGAAGGCCCGCAAGATGATGTCGAAACTTTCAAAGCCAGCGTAGAAGCGTATGGCAAAGACGATCTTCTGGAATGGAGACTGGCATGAGATATTTCACTATGTGAACTTTTGCCACAAGATGCCCCGAATTCTGGGTTATAAAGTCCCAGTCTTGGTTCCTCGATCCGTCACTTATTTACATTCGGACCCTCGGACTCTCTCTCGCACCCGGGAGGATTGCGCCCCACGCATGACGGCGATAAATACGACTGCTGTCTCAACCAAACCGACGGTGTTACTGATCTTTTGGAAGCCAAACTTGAATTTTAGGAAAGTTGACAGTGAAATGTGACTATCAGACTAACTTGATGCGATCCAGCACCTGCTCTTCTTTGACAAGCAAATCTACAGCCTCTCCGCTCATGATACCGGACACATAGGTCTCACCCACAATTCTGTAGCCATTATCCTTGCATCCACGGAGGATAAATGGCACTTGTGAGCTGATCAAAATAGCAACATGATCACCCGGATGAGCGTTTGCAGGACCAATGCCCAAATATCCGCGCGTTGTGACAAAGAATCGACGTCCTAGAGCATACTTCTCCACAGGAAAGTCGACTGTTTCCTGAGGAATGATTGATGGTGTCTTGGCGAAGGTTTTAAGAGCTTGTTTCCTCCTGCGTTTGGCGCTCTGTTCATCGGGACTTATGATGCCGTTGATCCATTTTTTGCAGCGTGATGCGGCGCTCAGCGCTCGCGCTCTTTTATCGTCCCGAACGCGACAAGTCCAGTAAGCATCCGGTACAACTGCTGGAAGCTTGAAGGGGCGGTGATAGAGATCGTATGGCTGCGAGTGCCACAAGTTCGCCAGCTCTTGGAATAGCTCTGTCTTTTGGAGCCGTTCTGCTTCTGTCCAATACTGCGGGTCAAAAGACTTTTCAAATCCTACAGCCAGCCAGTCTCTATCCTCACCAGCATCTCTCGTGGGCCGAGAATTTTTATTGAAGATTTCAGATATCTCAGCCAATTCCACTTGACCTGGCTTGGTTGATGTCAGCGGCGGTTTTGTACTGCTCCATGCTGGCGGCAGGCGAGGAAGCCAATCGTCAGGGCTTGTTGATAAATCGACAACCTGTCCAGCGAACAAAGCATCCCAGAATGCGCTCTCTCTGGCATCCTCACTTCCGTATGGATTCAAGTCATGGTTTTGAATCATTGCCATACTCTTACACTGAGCGACAGCGATCATGAAGTGAGTAGAAGCCTCCCAGTTTGAGTCTAAATCCTCAGGGAATGGTTCGTGTGTTGACTCGATGGTGTCCCAAAGAATTCCATCGACAGTCATGCTCTTGAGATCATGCGAGAATGTCGGCGTGCTGCTGGTGGCTTGGCTAATTCCTGCAGAGTAGGGCGGTCGTTTCTCTTTTGTCTCGTCAAGCCAATCCCGGAGGAATGCTCGCTGGGTTATTCTCTCGTTGGATGTCATGATTCGATCGAAGATCTCAGACATGCTTGCTTCAGTTTCGGCATCGATGCGAGGCTCACTTGGCAAGCACGTCAGCACAACTTCCCCTCGCCGAATGAGGTCTTGTATGGTGTTTTTAGCATCTGGTTGGTCTGGTGGTAGTTCGCTCAATATCTCTGCTTGAGATAGGGCGACCGCTACACCTCTTGTGTCTTCTAGAGCCTCTTGTGCCATGTCTCTCGCTTTGCTGTGCGTGGTGGGGTAGCCAATGGTATTGCCGTTCTGCTGCGGCACAGCCCACCATGGGATTGCTTCCTTGACCTCGGATGCCCGGTTGGGCAGAGGTCTTTCTCGACGCTTGAGAGACCAGTCAGGAACCCAAGATGGTCTGCCACTGAAGTAGTCATCCAGTGACCCGGAACAGTGTTGCAGTATTCCTAGCCCAGGGGCTCTGACTGCTGTGATAATGGCAAATCTTTGGTACAATTCCTCCATATCGATGCCATAATCCACAGGCAGCTGCGTCGTGTCCAGCCCGGGTCTGTTCCTCAACATTCCCTGCAGAGCATAGATCTTGTCCCTTGGATCAGTTGCGTCAAAATGCCGATACTTTGAAACTAGTTGCAAGAAGTCGTTCTGATCAAATCCCGTGGTGTGACCCTTCGTATAGATATGCTCGCCACTCCAGCGGACCGACTCGAGATGCAGAACGCTTTCCACATGGGGAATCGACTGGCGAAGGCTGGTTTCATGGACTTTGATCCGCCCGCATGCGAGGACAAGATCATGCCAGCTGATAGATTTGCTACCGCAGCGAACTGTAGCTGTCATCAGCCCGCCCCCGAGAGCGCCCCAGCAGACTTCTTGAACGATCCAAACCCTGGTCCACCAAGGCCTATTGAGAAGATTTCCGATCGCAGCCGCCGTCTCCGGTGGAACAGAAGGCATTCTGCTGTAGACAGTTGACCTTGAGAGTACCGCTAGCTTCTCCATCGCGACGTCACTATCGTCGGCTGCTGGTCCAAGCCAGATGGTGACAGCGCGAGAAGCGATGTAGAGGGCACTCATGACAGACACCTGTTGGTTCTTTTCGGCGACGTCATTCTGGTTAATGCACACTGCATCAATCCAGATTGTAACATCTGCAGTTGGGTCTCGGCGCTGTCGTAGAAAGCTTGCTAGGTTTGGCGTGATATTCAGAAGGTATGCCTCGTTAACTAGCACAGGTTCGCATGGTGCTTCTCCTCCCCAAGTGTACGACAGCGTCTCAAAATGTGGACGAGTGCGACCAGTTACAATCTCTAGTCGGCATGCAAGCGGCTCGGCGGAATCGTCCGCGGGTAAGAGATGAAGTAGTCGAAACTCCAACTGATCGTGGTTCAGAGATTCGTACTGGTACGGCCTGGTGGCAGTGTCGTGGGTTTGGCTCTCCATTCTTTCCAGCTCAGATTTTTGTAATCTTCAAGAAGGCCATATGCTTTTGTAAATCCGAAGTCGATGATATTGCAAGTCAACAGATTGTCGGTACGCGTACTACCTATAAGGTAAGAATACTGATTGTGGGGTTTAGGCAACAACATAGGCGCCATGACCTGATCCACCTCAGATGTGAAGGTACTTTTGTACCAACAGGCGCTGTGAGTAGTAGAATAATTACCATTTGCATTAAAATAGTAAAGAGTCATCTCTGAATAGTGCATAATTGAGAGAGTAAGTAAAAGAATTAGGACGATGCCCCGATTTACCATACATTTTCTCCGGCAGCAGAATCAATACGGAGTTTGATGTTTATGTGATTTGTCTGTGATCTTCGACCAAAAGAGGATACTTCATGTTGAAGTCGTAAGTCTTTCTCCTCTGACAAGCACTGCGATGCTGGAGCCCTCTCGAACCCGGAACTCTTCCTGCCCCCCAACCCGCAAGATGGCAGCTATGGCATAAGAGTGAACGGTCAATGACACAAAGTGGCTGGGATCGGTGGAGAAGATCTCATCCAGAACTTGCTGCTTCCTTGTGACATGACTCTCCGTGGTTTCAAACTGGTCTGCCTTCCACAGCTGATCTTCCTCGGTGAAGCCAGGTTCGATGATGTACTTGGGATAGGCTCCTTCGATCCAAGTCCTTGAACTCCTCTTATCACAAGTATGATCAGTCATACGCTCTCTCAGTCCTTCTTTGATAATAGGCCTGAACTCCTGGCCTCTACTCTCGACTAGATCGCCAAAGACAAGCTTGCTAGTCTCGAGGCAACGCCGAAGGGGACTCGTGTAGAATGACTCTGGAAAGGGAACTCCTTCAGCAGCTGTAGCAGCCTTCCAGAAAGCACCCAGGTCTCTGGCCTGAGTGATGCCTGTATCGACAAGCTCTGCATCGAGCCATGTGACGACCCCATCGCCGTCAAGTCGTGACCAATATCTCTATTGTTCGTTAGAAAGTGTCGGGCCGCCGTCACCAGAAAACGTTGCTCACATCCCACTCTGTCGTCCCAACCTTGGCCGCCTGGACGTTGTGGTACCCGAGGCCGTGCCTGGTTAGGTAAAGCACTTTGTAATCCACCCCATCGGGACTTTCATCGTTGAGTCGGTTGACGTGTGCCGCGAAACGATCCCATGGCTTAGTATCCCCGCTTTCCTGACGTTGGATCATGTCTCCAAAACCCTTGTCAATCAGACCTAGGCCAGGTTGCGTCGTCGCTTTGCCTCCGGGACTGTCATCGGCTTTTTTACAGTAGTCTATGAAGTATTCCGGCAGAATCGTAAATTTGTGCCGAGAGACAGGGTTCGCAGGTGCGGTCATTTTCGTCGCTGCTATGAGTGCGGGGAAGTTTCCCTGTGGAATTAAAACTTGAAGGGCGGATGCTAAGACATGAAGATGACAAGTTGCATGGAGGATAATTAAGCAGCGAAGAAGGCTAACTTGGCAATGATCTGGATGACTCAGTCATATTCGTCATGGCATTTACGGGAAATACCTAGTCTCATCGAGGCTGTGCTAGGTACAGCAGCCTATAGGGACGACTAGCTCAAATCAATTTCTAACCGCTTTAAGTTACTATACTCACGCTCTCTTCAGTACTTAACTAAATACTATATTATAATTATATATATATAAATAAGAATGTACTTATACTTAATTAATCTAACTTTTTTTCTAAATTATATACTTTATTTAACCTATATAATTTAAATCCTAATTAATTATACTATCTTTAAAATATTTCCTCTTATATAGTATTCCTTATTATAGGGGAGATTAAATACCTAAATAGTAGCTTATACTACCTTAAAGCCTAACTTTAGCTAATATCTTTCTATTTAATATATAGTATAAATCTTATATTAATTCTAATCTTAGATATAATTAACCTTATAGATATAAGTTATTTAGTATAAATCCTTTTTTTCTAGTTCTTAATTTTCTTAGACTAATAAAGTCCCTCCTATTTATATCCTATTAAAACTAACTATAAAACCTCCTACTCTTTTAACCCTTATAAACTTTATATCTATTTAGACTACTATAACCTTTTATAGCTATATTATAACTAGGAAGAATAAACGTAAAACTAATATCTAAGCTATAAAGAAGATATTAATACCCTCCCTAACGATTAATATCCTTCTATTATTATATATAGTTATATATTATGAAGTTAATAAGTATAGGTTTAAAGTCCTAATATATACCTATATTCCCCTCCTTAAATACTTTATAACTTAGCTATCTTTTATCCTAGTAATAAAATACTAATTATATAAAGAGATAATTTAAGTAATCTTTAGGTAGTTTATTATAGATAAGTAATACCTTAATTAAATATAGAAAGTAATTCCTATTAATAATAAAAACCCTATATATATTACTTACTACCTTAATAAAGTATATATAGCTATATCTCTTAGTGAATTCTTATATAATACTATAATACCTATTAAGAAGAATATTTACTCTTTATTACTTATTTACTTTAATTCTATTAATTTACTAACACTTAATTAAGTTTTATCTAAAAAAGTTTAAGTTTATAAATAAGTTAAAGTATTTATTTTAATAATACCTAAAGTAAAGTAATAAGAGATTAAGCTAGTAAATAAATCTATACTAAAAGATAAGAAATAACTAAAGTAAGAAGCTTAGTTTAAGCTTTAAAATAAAGTTAAGCTAGCTATTAAAGTTAAATAATAACTAACTATCTCTACTTAATCCTAAATAGGTACTACTTAGAAGCTTTTAGTAAAAGCACTTATTAGAATACCTTTATAAGTAACTATAAAAGAAGTCTCTTATAAATAGTTTTTTTTAAACTTTATTTATTTTAATTAATAAGATAATACTCTAGTTAAACCTCACTTAGAAGAAATAATTAAGGTGAAGAGGGATTAAACTAAAAATAGTTCTAAATAAAGGTATAGTAGTATATAAGGAAATAAATAGAATAGTATAAATAGAAAAACTAGAAATTAGAAAAAAATCCTTTTTATATAGAGATATAATATCTTAAATTTCTCTTTTTACTTTAATCCCCCCCCCTTTTATTAAGTTTACTCTCTATCTCTTCTAATATTAGATTATTAATATTAATACTTTTTAATAGTAAATACTCTTTAAACTATTATATCTTACTACTTAGTATATTAAGAAGTATAAGTTTAGGTAAACTTTAATAGAGGTAATATTATTATAACTTCTCTTATAAAAAGAGATACTACTTAAGTTAGGGAAACTTTATTATATTATCCTTTAAATACCTATTATTAGGAAGATTAGGTACTATATATAGGATATCCTAATAAAGTATAACTATACTTAGATATAAGTAAGTATCTAAATTAATTTAGTTATAGTTTAAAATATCTTATATAATCTATAAGTACTTAAGGTTAATTAGTTATAAGTAGTCTTATATTATTTAGAGATCTAGTTAATAGAATAAATATTATAGTTAGCTATTAAGTATATAAGAATGATTATATTATTTATAAATGTAGTAGGAATTCTATATATATATAAAGTTAGTAAAGTCTTAGTAGATAAGTAGTATAAAGATAAATAATATTATAATATAATTAGTAATTAATCCTAAGTGAAATAAGTTATACCTTTATAATAAACTAAAGTACTCTTAGATAATATTAGTATAATCCTTAGAAATATAAGTAATAAATATATATACTTACTAAAAAATAGATAATACTTAATATAAGTGTTCCTATTAGCTTTTAATTTTAATATTATAAATACTTTTTCTAAAGATCTAATAGTCTTAAAATTTAATAGGAATTTCTTCCCTATTTTATATCTTCTTATGTAAAGATAATAAGGACTAATAGGTTCTAGCTATAATTATAGTCTTAATACTATAATTAGAATAAATAATTAAAGGTATATAGCTAAGCTTTAAAATAACTTTAAGATATTAGGCTATTATATTATAAGATGTATATACTAAGATCCTAATATAAAACTATATAATAAATTAAGAGTAGGTATTAATACCTATATAGATCTTAAAGCTATATAAAAGTAATTTATTATATATATTAAGTGACTAAATAAAATTTAAACTAGGCGTTATCTAACCTTTCTATTTATATTATATCTCTTATAAATAAGTAGTAATATTATTAGGAAAGATTTTATAATATACTTTATAGAGGATATTATAGCTAATAAGATAACCTTATTAGCGTATAAATATATAGAGATATTTTTATCTATACCCTCATACTATATATACTTCTTAAGTTAATAATTAGAAGAATATAATTATATAAGCTTTTATAGCTATAAGTTATTCTATATTTTAGTGTTAATATATATTATTCTTCTAATATAAATCTATAAGGCTAATAGGAGTTATTATAAACCCCTTACTCTGAAGAGTATAAATAATACTTAAATTAGTGAGATATTATTAGAAAAAGAGCGCTTAAATATAGGTAAATAACTCTAAAGTAAGGATTATATAAGATTTATAATAAAAGTTCTATTTTTGAAGTTGCTATTTAAAAGTTACTTTTAAGAGTTAAATATAATATATTAAGATTAGATATATAATAATTTTATTATATAACTAGTTATCTTATAACTTTATAAAGATTTCTAACTAGAATTAATCTAAATTAATTTGCTTTTAGGGTATTTTAAGCTATTATATATAGATATATATATTTATAAATAATACTAAGAGGATTTATATAGTACTATATTATAATATATAAGAATATAAAGCTATATTAATAGCTACTTAGTCTAGTATTAAGGCGTAAAGCTATATATAGGTTTATAAGGCTTAAGCTTTACCTATAAAGCTATATCTAGAAGTATATAACTTAGGCTAACCCTTTTTAATACTATATAAACTAGAAGTTACCTAAACGCCTTTATATATATATATATATAGATATATATAGCTAATTATAACTTAGGTTTAATCTTACCCTCCTCCTCTATAGTAATTAGTAATAAACTCTTATATATAGGAGTAGATATATTTATATTAAGGTAAGTATACTTATTTATAAGGATAAAGAAGATTTTAATAGTTAAATAGAGGTTTCTAATACTAAGTATCTCTATAATTTTACGTATAATAGTGTTATTACTTAGTTTAATATTAACCTTATCCTTAAACTCCTCTTAGTTTTAGTATAGCTATTTATAGGTATTTTTAGGCTTAGATAGGGCTATATATTTAGTTTTAGCTTTAATTAGAGTTATCTAGGGGGTATTAATACTATCTATATCTATAGATATTAGTATACTATTAACTATAGCTATATAGGAGTATATAGAACTTATAATAAGTTTTTATAGAGTAGTTCTTATTATTTAAGATATAATAGTAATTTATATAATAGCTATAGTCTAAAAAGGTAATATAGCCTTTATATAAGCTATTTCCCTTATAGTAAGTAGTATATACCTTATCTCCCTTTAGAAGGTCTCTATATATAAAGGTAAAAACTTTATTACTAACTTAGTTATAGATAATATTAAAGATTAGGAAGGGGCTATTAATATATAAATAATCTCTAAGGTGAATAAGATACTAAGGCTATATAAATGTTAGTATAGGAACTTTAAGGATTATATTAGATTATATAGAGGTATATACTATTAGGTATATTTATAACTAACTATTTAGTTTTAAGCAAAATAATATACTTAAAACCTAGAATATATATTAGTAAATTTATATATATATAAATAAATAGTAGTATATATACTTTTTAGTAACTATTTAGTTATAGTTAAGCTTATATAGTTATATATAGGATTATATAGTATCTTAGCTAGAGCGTTCTTAGGGAGCTTTATCTTATTAATTGCAGTTAGGATTAAGAGGATAGGAGCTATTATAGGCGGTTATATATACTACTATACGAAATATATTAGTATCTATATATTAATAATAATAGGAAATAAAATAAAATAAAAAAACACTTTTATAAAGGGGGGTATATATTTATATATAGGGTAACTCCTAGAGAAAAAAAGAAGAAGAAGTTTTAAACTAGGGGGGCTTTAGTTTAGAAAGTATTTATAGGTGGGGATATAGCGCTATAATTAGTAAATTTCTAACTAATTAGAGCAGTATAAAAAGGCTATAGTATATACCCTCACTTAATTATTCTATAGTGTGGTGTGTATATATGGAAATTTTTGATTTGAGCTAGTCGTCCCTGCAGGCTGCTGTAGCTAGGCGCACTTCCAGCTGGAGCTACAGTGCTCGCTGTTGTGGCGCTTTTCATCTCACCCACACAGTGTCGCCATCCGCGCAAGGATCTAGTCTCAAATGGAGATTCCAAAGCTCGTTTTGTGTAGTTTGGTATGTACTATCTACAGGGAGAATATACTATTTGTATAGGCCTAATTTCGTCCTTAGAAATCAGAGAAATCAAAGCTAGTCATGCCGGATGAGAAGAATAACGATGCTCAATCGCTAGCTCCCTCGCAGTGTACCCCGCACTTCCTTCTTCCGCTGGGGATACTTACGAAGGTATACTACTAATCGATATTACTTCACAACTTCGGTACCAATTGTGGCGCGGCCTCCAATTGCTCCTGTGCTAACTTCACTGCATGTGCTGCCATGCCCCTGTTTTGATGTTAGCCATGTTCGCAGTTTTCTGCTGTTGCGGATCAACTCACCATGATGCCTGATATCCTGCACCAGAGGCACCGTAATTATGTATTACCAACCCATCCCCGCCCTTCTCGGCCTCAATTCTAGGGCCGCCCTTACGATTTGGTCTTAAGCCCACACCATGCTTGATCACCTTTAGATCCTCAGGCCTGCCTAGCTCAGGAGCCAAAGCACAGCATCTCTCCATAATCTTCTTCGCCAACTCGGGATCCACGTTCTTGTCCCAGTTGCCGTCCTCGCGGCAACCACCAAGAACGATACCTCCAGCGAGAGGACGCTGGAAGACATATGTAGTGTCGTTGTCGACTCGACGAGGCGATCTGAAATACATCCGTTGCAGTGGCTGAATGGGCTGTTCAACCAACACCGTCTGGCCTCGAGTCGGGTACATGGATTTGTCCTCAACTCCACCGAGATGATAAGATCCTAAACCAGTGCAGTTGAATACAGCCACGACGTCGGCTGAAATGCGAGCCTCTTTGAGGTGGGAAATCTGACGCCGGAGCAGAGACACGCCCCCTTGCCTACATTGTTCCAAAAGCCTGGGCCGAGTTAATTATAGCGGTCAATCTGAGTTCGAGATGGGTAACACCAACCACTGAAGGTAAATCTGGGAATTGACCACAAAGGTGGAGGGCAAGTCTAGTCCAAACACAGCCCCCTCAGGCAGCCCATTCTCGTTCAGCGAGACTGCACCACCGACCAAATCATCATACCACAACTTTCCGGTTCCTTCGCTGAGTATCTCGGCATCCTCAATCTTCTGGTCAAAAATCATTCTAAGAGGAGAACTCTTGATTCCTGCTTCAGGGCTGTGCTTGGCAATTTCCTGGAACCTCTCAAAGGTAACGCGGTCGAATGACTCGAGGAGCCCATTGTCGCTTGCTGAGGAACACCAGTTTGCGCCGGCCCATGGGGAGCAATAGTCGATATGGTAGTCGCCGGGGAAGTATTCTGCTAGAATAGTGATGCGCGCTGATGGATATTTACCTCGGAGGGTAATCGCTGTTGAGAGGCCGATTACGCCGGCTCCAAGCACCACGAAGTGCCTCTTGTCCGAAGACTTCGTAACCATGATGTGGTTTCTTGATGTCGAGGTATCTGGACCAAGCATACAAAGAGGCAGGCAAAAAAGTCAAGATGTCGCTGCCGCAGTGCCGTCCCGCAAAGATTGCGGTATGGTCCGATCATAGCTGTGGGGTCGCGTCGAGAACAAGTCCGAAATCGGCGTTCCTCGACCGGAAGTTGACTCCGGTTGCGGGCGTCACCGGCCTTCCTGGGTCCACATTTCCGCGGATGAAAGCATCGGGCCCGTCGTGACAATTCCATCATATTACGGAAGAATCAACTCCGTAAGTCTAGTATCTCTCAAGTAAACACTCTGTCAGATGTCCCCGTGGCCGCGGGCTCGAAAAGAATGCAGCGTCGGGGAGCCCCCGACCTATGTCGGCCTCATGCGACCTGCCAATCTTGGGATGCGCTGTCGTCTTTTATAGTCGGTATTTCGCATACTAGGACCCGCTGTTCGTCATTCTCGCCGACGAATCCCAGCCCCGCGATAAAACGCCAGCTCCCCTTTATGAACATGGGTTGAACCTGGGAGGAGCACCATCAACTTAGAATCAACACCTCTCCAACTGCCTAACATGAGAATCACCAACTCTGAGCCGCACTCGTTTATTAATCTCCAAGGAGGATGGCCGACTCCCCGCTTGCACCCGGTGAAAGACCTTGAGGCTGCTTCTTCCTCCTTGTTCCGTCAAGAGGATGTTGCGAAAGAGCTTCTTAGATATGGAGCTGGACTTGGGAGGCCGTCTCTGCGAGATTTGATCGGAAAATGGCTGAATGACTTTTACCAGCCGGCTGCCGGCTCTATTCCAGGCGTTCGAATCGGCGAGACAAATGGTGCATCAAATGGCCTAGCGACAATTCTTCAAAAGTTCACAGACCCAGTCTACACCCGCGCGGTCTGGATGGTCGAGCCTACATACTTCCTCGCATGCCCCATCTTCAGAGATGCAGGTCTCGCGGGTCGCATCAGAAGCGCACCAGAAGGGCCGGACGGCGTGGACCTTGACTTTCTCGCAAGCGAGCTACAACACGTCGATGAGACGTGGCCGGACAAGACTTCAGGACCGAGCAAGTCGGCGAAGTTGGGATATCCCAAGGTGTATCGCCATGTGGTCTATCTTATCCCAACTTTTTCGAACCCTAGTGGGAAAACCATGACCTTGGAAAACAGGAAGAGACTTGTGCAGTTGGCGAGAAAGCATGATGCTCTGCTGATATCTGACGATGTCTACGACGTGCTCCGGTGGCCGGCGAAGGAGGGTTTCTCAGCTGAAGCTCTTCCAAAGCCTAGCTCACGCTTGGTAGATGTGGACAGAGAGCTAGAGGGCACATCGACGTTTGGGAATGCGGTCAGTAATGGCTCCTTCTCCAAGATCGTGGCGCCTGGCATGAGGCTTGGTTGGATTGAAGCCACTCCCGTTTTCTGCACAGCCATCCGTACTGTGTAAGTGCTTCGCCCATGCCCTTAATTACGGCACGAAAGATTGACTTTGTTTGCAGCGGCGCTACCGCTTCAGGTGGCGGGCAAGCTCACTTCTCTTCCCTCTTCGTGGAAAACGTGCTTGCGGATGGGGCTCTAACTCGGCACATCAACGAAGTTCTCATTCCTACTTACCAACAGCGCTATTATGCCATGGTCAACACAATCAAACGTGTTCTCTATCCTCTGGGTGTGAGAATTGCTGCAGAGGAGGCCGCACAAGAGAGCGGTGTCGCTGGTGGCTTCTTCCTCTACATAACCTTTGGAGATGGCGGCGCCGACTTTGCGTCGGAAATTTCTCGGGTTTCTTTTGAAGACTTCAACCTAAAGATTGGGCCTGGCCAGATATTTGGCGTGCCTGATGACCCTTACAGTGAGCAAAGGGGCAGGGAATCATACTACAGCGGCGCGAGACTTTGTTGGGCGTGGCATGAGGAGGAAGAAATTGTGGAAGGCATCGAGCGATTGGCGGTAGTGATCAAAGGCGTTCAAAGGGCGATGAGCTAGGTCGTTGTCGACGACGAATGGAAAAGTTCAAGTTTCAATTGTCTCCTCAATAATCAAGAACCAGAACAATCAAATTCTGACAAAGACCAAATGGTTCGGTTCGGGGCTCCGGCCCGTTACTTCGCCCGATGCGCGAGTCGCCGCCTCGGACAACACCTCCGGACGCGTCTCCACAGGCTCGGCCCGAACTTTTCTGGGCTTAAGCTCGCGTCATTCGGGGTTGGCATGGTGAGCGAAGCGAAAGTACCATGTATGTATGGTGGAAATTCGTTCACCCTGCAGTCCACATTTAGGTAATGGAAATAACGTTGGAGGAGCTTCCCCGTGGGGCTCCACTCCAAGCGCCGTCTGCTCGAGACTAACCTGGGGTATTTAAGGCTCTTTTGCCAAATTCAATTTTAGAGGTAACATCTCCCGGCCGGTTTCTGAATCGTCCGGTGATTTTTCCGGATATCCGTGTTGTGTATGATGGAGAAAGCGACGATTCCAGGTCCGGGAAATGGGGCCGGTGAGCCAGTTGATGAGCCCCGAATGCCGCCCGCATCGGGTCCGAATACCGGTGGGGAACATGAACGCCATGTTGACCCGAGAACCATGGAACAAGGCGTGACCACGATTCCTGAGACCGATGCGGCTGCCGACGGATTTCCTGAAGGTGGACGAGAAGCTCTCACTGTGCTGTTTGGCAGCTGGTGCGTTCTCTTATGTACCTACGGTCTGGGCAACAGCATCGGCGTTTTCCAGACATACTACGTCAATGATGCGCTTCGAGAGTATTCTTCTTCCACTGTATCATGGATCACCAGTTTCATGCAATGGACCATGAACTTCTTGCCCATCATTGTACGTTGATTCTTTAATTCACAATACCAATTGAACTGTCAGCTAACGTGAAGACTAGTGGGGATTTGTCTTTGACAAGTACGGGCCACGATGGATCCTCTTCGGCGGTACCATCACATATGTGTTTGGCATGATGATGGAGTCTTTGGGCACCAAATACTATCATTTCTTCCTCGCTCAGGGCATCGTCTGCCCCATCGGCGCGAGTGCAGTGACCAGCGCCGCCATGTCTTGCCTCGTCACCTGGTTCCATCGTCGACGCGGGATGGCCTTTGGCGTCATGATGTCCGGATCCTCTTGCGGTGGCATCATCTTGCCCATCATGATTCCCAAGTTGATTGATAGGATTGGATTTGGCTGGGCGATACGCTGCGTTGGCTTCATGTTTCTGTTCCTCCTCATCATCGCCAACTGCACCGTCAGATCTCGCCTCAAGCCAGAACAAAAGCCAGTAGACATGAAGGAGTACTTCCGAGGTATTCGAGAACCAACCATGATGTCGACAGTCTTCGGACTCTTCTTGGTCTTTCTTGGTCTGTTTGTTCCGTACAACTTTGTGATTCTACAAGCTAGAGCTCAGGGCATGGACGAGGAATTGGTCATTTACCTGCTGCCAATCATGCACGCCGTTGGGTATGTTGCCAATGTCGGTCGCTGAAATACCTTGATTGCTAACCTGGTGGACATAGGATCGTCGGGCGTATCGTCCCGGGCTTGTTGGCTGACAGGGTCGGCCGATACAACATCATGATCATGATCGCAACCCTCACGGGCATTACTTGCTTGGCACTCTGGATCCCGATCAAAAATGACGCCGGTATTCTCATCTTTACGGCGGCATTCGGCTTCTGCTCATCTGGCCTTACATCCATCGGACCCACCCTCATAGCTCAAATCTCCGACATCAGAGAAATTGGTGCTCGAACTGGTACGGCGTTTGCGTTTCAATCTTTTGGTGCTCTGACGGGCAGTCCTATAGCGAGTGCCATTGTGGATGCGCGGGGAGGTGACTATCTGGGCTTGCAGCTGTTTTGCGGATTGGCCATTTTTGCATCAGCAGGTGTTTTCGCATCCGCGCGGTACTTCCAGAGTGGTGGATTCAAGCTACAAAAGGTTTGAATGCCAGGTCGTTTCTTTAAGCAAGCTCTAAATCCGTAAATGCTTTGGAAGTCAATTTCGTGCTTCATCGTCGCTTCCAATGCCCCATGACTGCGTTGAGCCTTTTCCACCCAACGCTATCCTTTTCTCTCCGGTCCAACAATCAGAGGCCCCCATAGTATCAATACCCTCGGCCCCTTGACCTCTGTCCGAGACTTCAGTGTTTGTCCGAGTACCAGGCTCTCTCTCTAAACCAAGGCTTCAACTTTCCAGCAGCAACCAACTCCTCCTTACCCCAGGGATCCCACTCACAGTTCTTTCCGGACGTGATGTAGCTTTTGAGAGTCTTCCTCGGACTGAAACCGTAATCGTAAAAGTGTTTAGCAACTTCGTAGGCGACTCCGGCAATCATCATCTCCCCCGTCATTTCGTCTGCGAAAGCCTCACACATGTCGAGCCCGTGTTCCAGATCTTCGTGCTCTCCGGAGCAATACGAGTCGGGTTCCTCCTGTTGACCGTGGTCCTCTAGGATGTCTTTCAGAAAATGGATCTGCCTTTGGTTGACGCGGACGTTAGTGCATCCATGATCATCTTCTGTGTCCTCTCCGTTGTCGTCCTCGTCGCTGTACTCGTCGCCATCGCTCTCCGACTCTTGGTCAGACTCCTCGTCACTGTCGTCTTCGTCACTCCCTTCGCTTCTGTCTCCGGACAAGTCCTTTCCACTGTCGGCGTCAGTCTTCTTTTCGATATCCCAATGCACCTTTTTGGGCTCTGAGAACATGCGTGAAGTACACATGTTATCTTGCTGAGAGCTACTGCCTGGCGTGTAGATGGCTTCCTGGCCCCGGGACACGGTCGATGCGTTGATGAGGTCGAGGAGGTCTTGGCTGTGCTCGGCTTTGTTGGGTGTTCTTGCCGCGATCGGAGGGGAGAGATGAGGACGGCAGCTGGAGCTGCGAAGTGTCTTTGGGCGGTCTGGCAGAAAGAGCTCTGACGTGTCAGGCGTGGGGCTAGGAAGGCGTTCAACGCCAGTGCTGTAGATGTTGTGCTTCCCCGAGGGTCTGGATCGGTCGATGTACTCCGCGTTGTCGAGCATCAGGTCGTCGAAGTCAGGCTTGGGTTCGATCTCCTTCGCATGGTCTTGAAACCTCTCCAGGACATCCTCCAAATTCTCGCCAGCATCTGCCAGGTGCGCAGAGACGGCTCGAGCCAGCGTGCCAACGGTCTTCTCCCAATCGCACCCCATTGACTGCTCAGCCACTTCGACTTTTCTTCGAAGATTACGGCAGATTTCACGGCCAACCTTGCATTTGTCGGGGTTGGACTCGTGAAAGTCAACCAAGGCTAGTAGGCCCAGCAGTTCGTGCCCGCGGTGAACCTTGTCTCGAAACCACACTTCGATGGCGTTGAGGCTTTCGTCTTGATGAGCGCCCTGCGACTTGACCGTAGCATCACATGTCTCCTCTTCACTGCTATCGTCATCTTCTTTCTCAATTAGCCGTCTCCGGGTGGCGTATGTGTCGTTTTCATGACCGCACTGCTCATTTACTGTCGCTGCGGAAGCCAAAAGAGCATCAACCCAGGAGGGCGTGGAAGCCTGATGGCTCTCTTCGTCTGATGTAGTACCCGAGGTGAGATCAACGACGGGGTTGAAGGAGGTGGTGCTGATCAAGTCAACGTCATCCTCGGTCTTCTCAATCTTGCAATGGGCGTCTGCCGCGATATGACGTGTTGAAACGGAGTTCATGTTGTGAATATGGGGTTCTTCTGAGAAGCGATTCATCTTGTGGCGCTTATTGTCGATGGTGGAGATGTCGTGCTCTCTGGGTTGTTTCACGGTCCTGGACAAGGTCTTCTCCAGCCCGTCAATATCATCGACTAATTTCTGAAGGACGTTTCTCAGCTTTCGCTCCTCGCTTGCGCCGATCCCTCCCCAGACTGTGTGGACACCACGTCGGATCTCTGATATCAATTCCGAGGTGGTTTCTTGATCTTTGTTCCTCAGCCCCTCTGGGGCTGGGGATGAGGAAAGCTTGCTCTTCATTGCGGCTAAGTTTTCACTGCGGTCAGCCTCGATCAGTGCAATAAAGTATGCCGGGAAAAGACTTACCCGTGAGTAAAATCTTCGTAGAACGGAAGGCTTGAGATTTCTGTTGGCCTTATCTGCTTATGATCTGGCTTGGTGACTGGAGGATCGCAGGGTTGCAGTTGAGAGGTCTGGAAGAAGAGCGAGAATTGTTTTTTTCTGGTTTTTTTTTTTTTTTTTTTTTTTTTTTTTTTTTTTTTTTTTTTTNTTTTTTTTTTTTTTTTTTTTTTTTTTTTTTTTTTTTTTTTTTTTTTTGAAAAAGGAAATTGCAGGTAGGAGTTCCTCAGTGGACGCGGTCTTTCCTGATTGGAGTCGAGTGGCCCTCCTTACGGCTGAAGCATTTTGGTAATTTCAAATACGGAAGGAGTACACCGAGAGTCTACTTTCCCCATACACCTACTTATCTAAACATTTACCTTGGGAAACTTCTTTTGGAAGTTGCCAGCCTCAAGACCCTTCTTCTGAATAAGTTAGGTAACTCATGTACCCTCATGCGTTGTATGACTATTCCATGAAAGGGTAACGTGTGCAATTTTACTTTTTTTTTTTCTTCAAGAGTGGCCAAAAATATATTTCTATTCATTTGTCTGTGGATGTGTGTTTCTTAAACCTAAGCCTCTCGCCTTAAACGTGCAGGCTAGATAGGACGGCGGTATGTATGCCTTTAAGTGTAAAAGCATCATAAAAGTCATACGCGCTGATTTCAGGTGTAATTCGTGCTTCAAAGCAATGTTACGTATGTTACTGACATGAGCCTATCGAATCATAAGTTTTGTTATATTCCTCTCTCCGATTTTCTGACCTCAGTCTTACTCAATCAGCCTGGCGTTTCTCCAACCCTACAGCCAGTGCTTCGATACGTCTACAGCAGGCGGCGGTGGGTTTTCCATCGACTCATAGTTGGCCTGGATCTTGGCTCATTCTGATCTCGCCGATGTATTGTCGAACTATCAAAAGTGGTCACAAGTCGAGATCCTTACATTTAGCGGCTGCGTCACTCAAGCGACCTGACACCTGCGGGACATGCACTTCACGCCAATTTCTGAAAACACGAGTCAAAAGATCAAGTTTCGTTTTGCTTTTGACCATGAAGACATTTAGATACGTCACGAGCAATTGATTTTGGCCTACCTGAGATGCCTTGCATGAGTCTGATTACCTTAAGGTTCTGTCGTCGTGCCTGTCGTCGTGCCTGTGATCTTCGTCGCTATCATGTTTGTTATTATCTTAGTCTCTTTCATTGATTCTATTGTTTACGCAGTATTAGACTGTTGTGATCTATGTTGTTGCCGTCTTCGGTTGAAATCATTAACGCAGAGAATCTAGCTATGCACAGCATGATGTTGTGATCTCCACTCGATTTATGTCGATGCTGCTTCAAGAGCGTCCCAAAAGATTAAGGAGATCAGACGATAGATGAAGAAATTGATGCATCAAGCATAGTATTTACGTCCTCGACGGTAAAAAGTAAGATATGTACATGAATCTGTCGTTGGTCACTCGTGTGCCTTGACTCAACCCCCTTGCTTCCTCTCAACTACTTCAACTGAAACCAGGCGACTCCTCCAGAGCCTCATCCCGGCCAGAGACAATCCCATCACCCAAAGCTTAGATCTTTCCAAAGCCAGCGGTGTTGGGGACGTTCTTGGCGTCGTTGGCGGTGACAGTGGCAGCGACGTTCTTGCCAGAGAAGCTGGACAGAATGCTGGTGTCGGAGCCGGAGAGAGAGCCAGAGCTGCCGTAAGCGTTGAGCTGGCAGGTGTGGCCGAGGTAGCTGGAGCACTGAGCGTTGGTGTTGGCATCGGGGCTGGAGAAGACCTTGCCGGCCAGACCAGACTGCATGGCAGCAACAACGTTCTGGAAGACGTTGCCCTCGGCGACGACCTTGGCACCAGCATCAGCCTCCATGGCGTGACCTGTTGAGGAGTATTAGTTATTTGTTAAGCCTCATGAAGATTCAAAGCAGTGTCTGTTGACATCTCGCGGACGGTCGGGTGGTCCGTGCACCGACCGGCCGGGAGTGGGCCGAGTCGGACCCGGAGCGGCGCCCGAAGATCAAAAACCATCGCAGAACAGCCACAACGTCCTGTAACGCTTCAAAAGCTTCAAAAGATAAAGAAAAGACCTGCCTGAGTTTTCATAGAAGTAATTGCCTTGAAGATGCAGTAGACTGCCCGATTTACGTTAGATTCAGCTTCTTAATACATATAGATGATGCGGGGTGCAGAAGGATATCAGGGGAAGGGAAAAGGGCAACGTACGTGTTTCCAGCAACCTTGGGGGAGCGGCCGGAGGTGTGGTGGATGTAGTTCTCTGCGGGAAATGGCGTTAGTACTTGTACAACTTAGGCTGGTGGGTATTGTGGCGAAGAGTGTCTTACTGCTGAAGGTAACCATGTCGTTGCTGCCGGTCAGGTAGACACCCCAGTAGTGGTGGTTATCGCAGGTGGCAGACCAAGAGGTAGAACCGTCAATCTCGTTGTTGGAGATGGTGACACGGTTAGAGGCACCGTTGCCGAGGACGATGTGCTGGCGACCGATCAGAGAGGTCTTGACGTGGTCGATCCAAACGAGGTCGGTGCCGTCCAGAGAGATAGCATCACCTCCCCAGACGTACTTGGGGTTCAGGTTCGTGATGTGAATCTACGTTCGTCAGCTAAATAGGTTCGAAACTTAGCATTGACTCAACTCACGTTCTGGATGATGACGTTCTTCGCAGAGTTGGTAATGCGAAGACCCTTGCCCTTGATCACACCCGCAGAACCCCTTCCTATGATAGATTTATTGCTGCCGACTATGAGAGGTGAGAAAGGCGCCTGGCGATGTCAGAGAAGTTTAGAAACAATTCCTGTTCGAATTCCTACCTTGTCGTAGCTGACAGAGACCTTGGGGGCGTTGGGCTGGTAGTTGGTGCACCTGACAACCTCAATGTCAGTAACAATGCAAGGAAACAATGTTTCAAACTGTTTACTCACCAGTTGTCCTTGTTAATTGCAACCTGGCAAGCCGAAGCAGTGCCGTAGGGCGCGCAGCCAGTCTCGGTGGTAGTTCCCTCGGTACCGGTGAAGTCGAAGGTCTTGGTCAGGACAATGACGCGAGCAGAAGAGTCCTTGAGGTAGGAGGCAAGCTCGGCAGTAGTGGAAGGGTAGACGGGGGTGGCGCTGCCACCGCCAGTGACGCCCTTGGCAAAGCCTTCAGCGGCGCCAACGACGGCGTCCGCGGCCGAGGCCAGGGGAGCAAAGGCAGCCAGTGCCGCGGAGAGGATGGATGCAGATCTCATGGTGCTAAGCTTTCGGAACGGACAGAAGTAGTAGGTACAAAAGAATGAATGTGGAGTCGGTAGTCGAATAAAGAGAGAATGTTGAAGAGCGAAAGCTGCTGAAGAAAGGATCTTCCCAAGTCAAGAACAGCCGGCTGATGTCGACGATATATACACTCTGTTGGTTCATCGTCCCTCCCTCTGTTTCTCAGCTCCATCTTAGTCTCGTCTCGTCTTTCCTTCCGCCGTTCCTCTTCGCCCCCTGAACAGCCCTGCACAACCCCCACCAACAGGGACGAAGACGACAGACAACCTCATCTTACTGACAAGCTGTCTAGGCTCTAGCCCTTCGAGGCCTCAAAATCTGTAATCGGCCGAGGGCGCAAAGCAAAAGCCACCCACACTACTTTCCGAAAATCCCATGGCGTGGGTGCCGGAGCCGACTTGTTCGAGGGATAGAGTGGTGGAGCCTCTCCACTGATTCGTGGGGTTTTACTGCGCTCCGAAACCCCTTCATCTACCACGTACGTTGGCGCCGGGGTTGTTTGGTGATAGCACCGGCGGCACCAACCGAATCGAGCATCAACAACAAGCCTCGCAAACGCACCGCCAGCGACTTCCATCAATGAGATGTAAAAGGAGCGGATTGCACGTCTCCGCCGGTAGGGCACGTGTAGGGGCCAAAGCCGGGGCTAGAGACTGCCATCGATGGAGCCGAGGAGCCCAGGTGCCTGGGTGCGTTGTCACGCGGTACCATCAGCGGCAGTTCGCACGTAGCGCATGCAGAAGAGACACAATTGCCCCGTCTGCAATGTCTCTCCTCGTAGGTATTTCCGCCACTCAACATGGGGTAACGCAGGCGAAATGTTCCTCTGCTGCACCCGAGGTCATCGCAGCTGGTTCTTGGCATTCCCAAAAGTCGTACCGATGAAACGGTTCGAATTTCCCGCCACGGCGCATTTGTTGGGTGGTGTCTTCTCGCATCCTTCCGCGCAATTCGGCACCTGGCATGGGGGCGCCTTCGACGGTGAGTGGTGGGCATGGAAAACCCAGGCGAACGGGGATGTGGGAATAAGCTAAGAAGCTTCTAGGCTCGGTCGCTCTCCGTTGTCATTATGTCTTCTCGAAGATGGATATGATCTGTTAAGCATAAACCCGCGGTTGGCGCATCACACACACGTCAAGGGCTCCAGTTCATCTCCCCTGGCCCAAGCTCAAGCTCTCCCTTGACTTTGGGCGTTGCTTTACGCGTCGCACGTGTGCTCAGCAGGCGTGAGCCATGTTTAAACGGAAGGACTGCCAAGGGCATGGGCTGCGGATAGGGGATGATGAAAGAAAAGTAAAAGAGATTGCAGACTTTTTTTCATGCTTATCCGCGCGAGTCTCCCCTGGCCTGTTTCGAGTCAGAGTGGCACGGAAAGGCTGACTTGCTGGATGGGGTTAAAGCGGTCTGTAGTCTGGCGAGGGAAGCGGCGTGATTGCATTTCGCATACGACGCCTTTTTCAAGCTTTCAGGGGTCTGCCATGCCGGGACGAATTGCCCGAGGTTCCCAAGCCAGGATATGCATGCCAAGGAATAGATTGAGCCTCAAAGCCCAGCCCACTGAGCGCCCGGTTGGGAGCCACATCTCGAGCAGTCCAAGGAGAATTATCAAGCCACATGAAAATGATGCGTCCCTGAAATTGTGGATGCTGTGGTGGCGACGTCCAAATTCTTCAATTCTTCAAAGGATCGCGCGAGCCGGTGAGACGGAACCCGTGGGAACCTGTTGTGGGAACGCAAACCCATAAAATCCCATAAAAATCCCATTAACGCCCCCAAAACCCAGTATTCCCGGGCTGTTCCCCTTTCTTCAAGGAATGAGATCTCGGCTCAGAGTGCCGACCGCAACAGTCACCAGCGGTCAGATGGACGGATAGAAGCGAGTGTCAGCTCCAGAATTCAAGGCCGGCAAGCTGCTGCTTGGCTTTTGCGATCAGCATGTAACATTCCGCTGACGGAAAGACAGTCCCATAAAATACGGCTTTGTCAGGACTGCGTCAATTGCACTCAAAGTTGCAGTTCATATATTTATATTGCCTATTTGGCCAGAACCCCTTCTTCCTCCGCCCTACCGCCCTTTTTGTGGGAAGAAAAGCAACGTCCCCCACAGTCCGGACCATCTCGCAATTCCTGGCCTCATACGATTTCAATTCTTTTAGACTTCGCCGGGGACCCGATTCTCGACAAACTCTCTCTCGCGTTCCAGAATCTCGCGCTCTGCCTTGGTGCGGCCCTCCTTGGGGAGATACGAGAAAATGATCGGGATGAGCGCGGCCAAAATGGTTCCGAAGCCGGTGAAGGCACCGGTGGTTGCGAACCCCTTGACGAAGCGGGGCCCGTCCGAGGAAGGCCACAGTCGGCTTCCATAGACCGCCGAGAGATTACCGACGGAATTGACCAGGGCCACGACAACTGCGCGCTTTTCCGCAGGGAGGGCGATGGTTTCCGAGGTCCAATTAAGCATCAGCGGCAGAGAGGTGTACAGGCCTGCAATGTAGAAGCACAGCATGGCGTAGACCACCTTGGGGTTGGAAACTGTCACGCAGACAATGGTGCAGATGAAGCTGAGACCCATGCATCCTGTAATGTGCCATCGGCGGTCCCTGGTCTTATCCGCAGTGTATGAGAGGACGACCAAGAACACTGCGCCGACCATCCAGATGGGAATCGTCATGTACTGGGCCATGACCGAGGTGTATCCCATCTGCTTGACAATTGTGGGAATGAAGTAGGAGATGGTGCAAGAACCCAGGTCCATGGTGAACAGAACCATGAAGATGTACGTCCGGGGGTCCGCCAGAGCCGCCTTGAGCGACTGCCAGTGAGTGAGCCTTTGCCCATGTCTGGCCGCGGTGGTATTACGGTCGTGGATCATTCGGACCACGGCAAGCTGACGTTCCTCCAATGAGAATCGCTTCGTGGTCTCGGGGAAGTCGAGCAAGATGAACTTGAGGCCGATAGCGAATCCGATGGTGCAGACGCCTTCAATCAGGTAGAGCCATCTCCATCCGCGCATACCCCGGACACCTTCCATATTTCCAGTGATTGCACCCGCCAGGAGGCCGCTCATTGCGCCCGAGCATACGGAGGCGGTGTAAAAGATCGAGAACCGCTTTCCTAGATTGCAATTTCACGTTAGTACCAAAGATGACGTGGGCTAGGTTTGGTGGGTCTTGTTTAGAGCGTTCCGCTGCGGCAGATTGCTCTTCCCGACGACACCGGTGAGAGTACTTACCAATTTCAGCCTTCTTGTACCAGCAAGTCATGACATATAAAACACCAGGGAAGAATCCGGCCTCAATGCAGCCAAGGAAGAACCGCAGAGCCAGCATTCCTTCGTAGTTCTTGACCACAGACATGACGGCGCAGATAGAGCCCCAGACAATCATGATGCCGGGAAGGTACCACGACGGTCGGGATCTGGTGAGAATCATGTTCGACGGCACTTCGCAAACTAGGTAGCCAATGAAGAAGATGGACAGCAGCATGGCATACTCTGCGTGGGATTAGAAGTCCGCGCTGGTCTGAAAGTCCCTAGACACTTACGGTCGTCACTGAGGTTGAGATCAGTTCCCATGCCGGCAACTTTGGCATTTCCCTAAAGGTAGTTGTCAGCGACATCCTTGTAGAGTTTGATAGGACGAACGTACGATATTCTGCCGGTCAATGTACGCTAGAATGTACATGAACCATAGCGTAGGGCCTATCGTTCGTTAGAGTTAAGGTGCGGCCTGGGCTCTAGCTAATCACGCCTTACCCATGTACATGTCCAACTTCCTAACCAAGGCCTTCTCAGCCTCAGAGTCTGGAACATAGTTCTGCAACGCCTGTTCCAATTCCAATTCGTGCTCGGAAAGGTTGACCTTGGCCGTGTACGCCTCCGCCATATCGGCGTTATCGGTGGCATCTTTCGCTGTCTTGATGTCGGCCATGGCGGGCAACGGTTGGCTGTGGCCGGAAAACGGTTCGGGAAAGATGCACAACTCGACCAGTCACAGTGCCGGCTAAGTAATACAGTTGAACAAGAGAAGGAATGGGAACATCCTTATGTTATATTCTCTTATCGATCCTAATTATGGGCGATCGTCTCGGCATTTTCTTCTGCCACCGTGCACCTCTGAACATCTTGCCCGCAAGCCGTCGTAGTTGGCGTATCTGCAACCCCGCTCTGTTATCTTCGCGAATGCGACTCCTCTAAACTCAGGAAAACCAGCGGCGTACAGGTGCCGGGATAACCCAAGACAAGCCGCGTTATCTTCAACCTTGGAGGACCAACAGATGCCTTGCCTGGACGACCGGCGAACGTTCAAACAACGTCCGTATCTCGAGTCCCACACTCATCACCCCCGCGTTTCCACATTCCAGAGATACGGTCGTGATCAGCGGTGGGTTTATCTGCGTGCCGGGCAGACATACTGCTGTTTCCGTGCTTTTTTTTCCTTCGCGCGGCGAGTTACGATTCGTGCAATTCTGCCCGGATATCGACAACCAGCGACTCAAAGTGGGCCCGGGGCGACATCCCGGCTGGTCTGTGCCCCGTGTCTTGACCGGCCCGGTTCGTGTGGGATGCCAAGAGCTGTCATCCAACCGGCGTTAACGGTTGTTGCGGTATGCATGCAAGATTGGATGCGAACTACTGCAAGTCTACGAACGCCTAGACTTTTTTGTAACGACCGGTATGGTATCTCGACATCATCCGGCCTGGGTTATCAAGACTGAAACGCCTGGACATACAAGTCATCGTTATCTTGGGTGTGCCCAGATTTCGTGCTGCTCAAGACAGCTCTGCAGGTCTGGTCTGACCTCGGAAAGTGTTGAAGCAACCAAACTCAACCTTGACGGGTTTCCAAATCATTTCTAGGCGATTTTCACTGTAATTCAAACGCTGATCATTAGTTGACATGTCAAAATCATTTGCCCATTAATCAAAAGACTTGGGGGTTTCTTGTAAGTGATTACATATGCTATCCAATTCTCG